TGACATTTTTTTTCGTAATTTTTTCTGCAAGATCACAACTTGATTTTACGTACTGAGAACAACGTCTAATTTTCTTGCTTCGCAATTTGCATATTTCCGCCGGTATGCAAATATCTTGATTCTGATTGGCTAACCGTCGGTTGCATGTAACCACGCTCTCTAGTGAGCGCGTGTGCTCAAGGTTAATATTTGCATAATCAGCTTTTCTTTTAATTTCATTGGATACAACTTTTCTCTTTGAGTAGGGACATGACCGTCCGCTCTCTACCGTCTAATTTTTCCTAATTCAATTCACTTTTTGACCCCCAGGCTTTAACTGGTCCTTAGGTTTCAACGCATCGTTTATCATTTTTATTTTCGCTATTGTATAACTTTCATCGTAATGACTTGTCTCGGGCACCGCTGCAGATGGAAACCGAGACAAATAGTCTGCCATTTTCGACACCTCCAAGTCTATCTTCAACTTTGAAATCATACGGTACTAAACGATCGTACCATCGAGTTAACCGACTAAACAATGTATTATTTCCTTTTGGGGAAGAACTTAATAATGTAAGCAACGCCTTGTGATCTGATATATCTGTAAATTAACGTCCATAGATATAGTTTCGAAAATGTTCCGTAGCCCACATAACCGCGAGTAATTCTAACTCAAATGTTGAATTTTTTTCTCGGCCGGATTAAGATACCGTGACGCAAACAAAATCGGGTGCCAACCGGAGGCGCTGTACTGTTCTAACACGGCCCTTAGGCCATCGTGCCTAGCATCACAAATTATCCTAGATTCACGGTGAATATCAAAATTTCTAAGTTCTACAATGTTTTGCACTGGCAATTTCAATTGTTGAAACGTGTTCTCGCAATTCTGCGTCCAGACAAAATCGTTGTTCTGACTGAGTAATGATCTTAATGGTGCGCTCACTTCAGCGATTTTTGGCAACAATTTATGCAAACTGTGCGTCGAACCCTTTAGTGATTTTAATTGCTTTCTAGATTTTGGGGTTTTCAAATCTTCTACCGCTTGAGTTTTCCGGACTAATGGCGTGATACCACTTTCCATAGTTCGAAACCCTAACCATTCGCACTCGGTTTTTGCAAATCCGCATTTCCGTAGTTTCAAAGAAACTTTTGATACATCCAATTGCTTCCATTTTCCTTACTAATGCAACATGCTCAACTTTTTTCCCTTGGACACAATTAGGATATCATCGATGAAAGCATTTGCTTGAGGAAATTCCTTAAGTAAATTATCAATGACTTTTTGAAACTCCGCCGGCATTGATGTGAGCCCGTAAAAACCGTTTTTAAAGCGATATGTTCCCTATCGATTTTCCGCCGACTAGTGAAAAATTGCATTGCTCGCTAGTCTTTTGTTCCAAGGAAACTTGTCCGTACGCGTAAGTGAAATCCAACGTTGTAAAGTATACATCCCCCGCTTTTCGTTCTGCATTGATTTGATTTACCCCATCTACTAGTTCGTCAATAATTGGCAGTTCGTACTTATTCTTGTGTACCTGCTTCTTCAGTTCTCCTGATTCTAATGCCAATTTTATACTTCCATCGTTTTTTACTGTGATGACTATAGGAGAGACAAAGTACTTATCCGAACATTCTTGTAATTTGATGATATGACCTTCTTTTATTAACCGATCAATTTCCTTGTCTACCTTATCCTGTAAACTGAAAGGCACCCGACGCCCCTTTTGTTGTATCGGCTTTAGACTTTCAAAGAAATCGGCTCTTACTTAAGCGTTTCCCTCTTCTGGTAAATAAAATTGGGTACAACTTACAGAAATATGTTTTTAATTCATCATATTCCTCCTCTTCCTGATTGATCTCTTCCCCCGTGATTCCCATCACTTTCTTTCTCTGCACCAACTCCAGGCTTAGGGTACCCAAGGATCGCGCCCAAGGATTGACTGATGATTTCCTGATATTACTGACACTTGCGCTGGAGCTGCCCAGCCGTTCAACGCCGTCGTCACCGCTACTTTCCCAAATATGTGTGTTCGGTGGTTATTGTAGTCCAAGAACTCATCTTGAGATGAATGTTATTGAATATTGGTTTTACCTAAAGTTGTTTTCAGGTCCGTCATGCTGAAAATTGTCACTGCAGGTCCACTATCCACCCACAGCCACGTTTTCTTTCCCGTCACCTCAACCTGGACTCTGGCTCCTGTGATCTTCAGTTCCGTCACGTTCTTTTTCTTGATCGACATCACCATGTAGTCATCGGATCCTGACGTCATGATTTCATTCTCCCCGCTTCCCTGCTGATTCACCAATGCCTCTTGATCTTCCGACACATTGTCGACACTATGCATGCTCTGGTGATGCTCATTTTCATCCCTCACCAGTCCGACTCTTCCTCGTCCTCTCCACTCGTTAGTACCTCTTCTAGCTCCCCTACATGTGCGTTCAAAATGGCCCAATTTTCGACACGCATTACATGTTGCTCCTTTTGCAGGACAACTCGCAATATCATCGAGAGTAAATTTCGGCGCGTCACCATTATAACACCTAAGGTTATTTCCGCCGCCCCGCTGCTTGATCCTTGGGTATATCCTCCGCGTCCCCCGCGTTCTCGACCTCTGAAATACCCCTGTCCCCTTCTGATATTGTTAACTGGCTCCTGTTTGATGGTTATCGGCGGCGCGGACTGGGCCCGTTTTCCGGTGTAGGATTTTATGCATGTTCACCTCTCTCATACGACAGTGCGATCCTATAAACCTCCTCTGGTAACTTTGTTGATCGTGATAGTTCTATTTGGCAGTCAGATTCCCGAATGTTCATAATAAAAATATCACGAACATTTTCGGCCGCTTAGCAAAATCACACCTGCCCGCAAGAGCGCTCAATTCCGCATGGAATTTCTCAAACGTTTCATTCTCCCTCTGCTTTCTTCCATAGAAGAGTCCCCTCTCATGTGTCACATTTCGCTCGCATTTGAAGACATTTTGCATTTCGTACCCCCTCCGTTTTAACTTTCACCGCCGGTTTTCGGGCCTTAAATATCCTTTGCGCTTCGTCTCCAATACAGAGATATAGGTTAGACTTCAACTTCTTCTCCGCCTCGATACGATTTTTCCCATTTACATCCTCTGCTAACGCTGCAATGGCCGCCGCATTTATTGTACGCGCAAAAAAAAAATCATCAGGGTCAATGTTAAATTTTGCTATCATGCCCCAGTGAAACTTTATGATCCATTCCTCCCAGTAGATTGGGGGTTCTGGCGTCCCAGAATGATAGTATATTAAGCGGATTTTTCCCCTCCTTTTCGTTCTGCTGGCTGCGCCATGTTGAAGTAGTGTAATGTATAGTAGAGAAAGAATAGTTGTTTAACTTTAATTGTAAAGCAACTGTAAGGCATCAAATCTAAATCTTACTGCAGCTTTCTCTTTTAGCTCGTACCGGACGATAGAGATCGCAAGGTCACGACAGCAGGTCCCCAGACAGAAAGAAACAAACTCATATAACTTACATAAACTCAAACTGGTCCCTGTCTCAATTGTGAATACTACGCAACAGGCTATATATTCCCAATCAATGACTGAGTTTGGAGGAAAATTACGCTTTTACTATTCAAGAGTTGTTTTGGCACCAATTTGACCTGAATTTTGTGCATTGTCAAGGCACTATTATTGCGTTGCAGTTTAAACGTCACTAAAACGTAATCTAAATATATGAAAATTTTTCCATTTGGTTGACCATATACTGCTAGTTTTATTGACGACATGACTACAGTGCTGATTCAAATTATCCGGACAAAACGAACAAAACTTGAATTTTCAAACGAGTTTTTCTCAAATTGAGTTAGGATTAGACAAAAAGTGAAGAGAACAAAAGTTGCTTAGAATTGCACCGGAATTATTATGGTGTCATTTTTTCTCCAAAATTCTCAACAAAAATTTTACCCCAAAAATGGGTCATTTTGGCTTTTTTCAATTAATCAAGAATTACGCTGAAACTACTTTGTTAATTGATAAAAAAAATTATATCACAGGAAGCTTTTTACGCGGCTCAACAAAATTTAACAAGGGTTAAATCTTCAAAAACCAGTAAAAGAGAAAAAACGTTCATTCGATAGTCAATAAATGTGATTTTTACTATATATAAAACACAGAATCTCTGTTTAAAAACAAATTTTAAACATTTTGCGCAAATTTTTGGAGATTTAACCCTTGTTAAACTTTGTTGAGCTGCGTAAGAAGCTTCCTGTGATACAATTTTCTTATCAATTAACAAGCAGTTTCAGCGTAATTCTTGATTAATTGAAAAAAGCCAAAATGACCCATTTTTGGGTTAAAATTGTTGTTGAGAATTTTGGAGAAAACATGGCACCTCATTAATTCTGGTGAAATTCTAAGCAACTTTTGTTCTCTTCACTTTTTTTCTAATCTTAACCCAATTTGAGAAAAACGCGTTTGAAAATTCAAGTTTTTTTTCGTTTTGACCGGATAATTTAAATCAGCACTGTATTCGGATCCCGTTTGATTTAAACCTTTGTTACTCTATGCTTTATTTGATTTTTTTTGAGTTTTGGTGCTACATGTTGGTGCCACACATGAGGCCATGAAAGCTTTTTTTTAAAAAAAAAAACAAGCTAGGAAACTTTTGATAACATGATATATTTGGATTTCGATCTATTGTCTCATTAATAGACTAGACTACTGACAGATTTTTGTCACAATGGATGTCTGATATCCTTCAAATTTAATATTTCTCCGTTTTTAAACACCATTTCCTTCTTTGATTCGGGAAGATGAAGTGCATATGGTCTATTTTGTCAGTTACCTTAATTGTAACATTATCGGCACAAGAGTCAGACTGTAAGCCTGCGTCTTCCATTCAGCTCCCTCCTCGTCCTGTGGTTTTCATGCACGGGCTGCTTTCGGATGCCTCTCGCGGTGATCAACTTCTGACATGGATCAGAGAGGACTTCCCCGATGTCCCCATTTACTCTCTCAAATCTTTTCAGGGATCAAAGAGTCTGTTCGATATGGCGACTCAAGTTGTGGTTTTCAATCAAGAAGTGAAGATGTTCATGTATCAAATTGGAGCAAACGTAATCTTGAAATTCTAAATTGCCGTTTGTTTGAGCTATACCAAAACTGACTCTTTTAAAGCCCAAAAATGATTATTTTTCTTTTTGCTTCCAAAATTTCTCTATTTAAGGACGTGACTTTCATTGGGTACTCGCAGGGTGGAATCATAGGGAGGTTTTTGGTGGAGCAACACAACGCAAATGGATACTTTCACACCTTCATATCAATCGCCGCTCCTCTAGCCGGTCAATACGGAAGTAAGAGAATTAGTCATATTTAAACGTCATCTCTGGCCATCAGTTCTTAGAATAGTTTAAATCAATCAAATAGAAAATAGGCACAAGACTGATCGGAGACCGTTTAAGATCTATGGAGCAGTAATACATGAAAAAATTAAAAGTAAAAAATTACATGAAAAGAAAAAGTTTAGAATTTGGGATTTTTTTGTGAAAACCATCCCCAAACACGCCAGTAGTGTTTTATCGTATCCCGGATCTTAGGGGAGGGTCCTACCTAAGGGGGGTCCTCACTTAAAGCAAAATCCTACGAAAGGTAGCCTTCATTTTTTGGAGGACCCCTATCCTAGGATTTTGTAAAGGAACGTAAGTTCCCACCACTAAAGCAAAAGACCCCCTCCTTAGAATCTTGTTGAGCTGAGCTTAAGAACCGAGACCCGAAACAATAGTTGCTTCTAATTCCCTTCAAAGCAGTCCTTTTTCCCGCGATATTTAAATTTAATCGTTCTAATTCCTGAAATTTTCTTTTGGTCCTAGTTTCATGTGGATATCATTTCCTGGCTTTCTTTCTTATCGTCGAAGAATTGTCATGCTGATAAAAGTTTGTTATGAAACTAAGCCAACGGAATTCACCCATTTGCTTGAACTAACATTTAGTTTGAGTCAACTAAATTATTGCCTGAAGCTATTTATGTAAAAAAAAAACGATTCGCCCAATACGAATTTTTTTTATTAGTGGTGAATTGGTAAAAACCAGATTAATCTTCAGCCGAAGTATAAAAACGACGAGCAGTAAAAATCATCTCAAAATGTATGTTTAAGAATTTAATGTTTATTGTTTTGGTTTTATTTGCGCTGTTTTTAGATGGTTTATCTTTTAAAGCTTCAGAGGAAATAAATGGGTTATTTACAGGGGGACGTTCACGGACTCAGCCACTAGAAGCTTCTTCTTCTCGCAGCTCTGTTTCTGAGTAGAGCTGCTGTAAAAATCCCCAATCCGGAAGTTGAAATTCGGGCAAACTGTTATCAGCTTCATTGTATGAGTTGGATTTCATGTAAATGTGTTCAATAAATGCATTCTCTTCGGCGGCTTTATGACCAAAGGGAACTGTCGAAATCCCATCGAAAAGGAGAAAACGTTTTGAGTCGAATGGTGATAATGCAAGTTTGTTTTGTTTCACTGTCATATTAATGTGACCTTTCGAAACTATATTATTGTTTTATTCTCTCATTGTTTACCCAGTGAATGTTGTGTCCCTGAAGGTTTGGTGGACCATTTCTCGATATGCGCTCCGTTTTATTCCTTTGGCACTCAATTTTTGAGTGCCCTCTAAGCAGAAGCAAATTAGTGTTTTTTCTACAAGGCAGGGGATTGTTTTATTTCACTTCAGCAACTCAATTTGTACCGAACAAAGTTTCATTCATTTTACCAAAGAGCAGAAGACTCTAAACTATAATTTAAAAAAAAGGAAAAGAAAAGAAAGTGTTATCAGATAAATTAACGTTTAGTCAACCTGGTATAATGTTGCCTAAATCAGCTAAACTTCCATAGCTTGTTACAACAAATTAAGGGGGAGGGAGGATGGTGATGATAATTTTTTCTGTAAAAATTTTGGAATGGGGGTAGAAGGGTGGCTTAAATTGGGATTTTTTTTTTACAATTAAGGACGTCTGAATGTAGTTTCGGTTTTAGGACAATGAATTCTCTGATCCGCTTCCCATCAGATTCGTCTTTAAAACTCAGCACATTTTTTTGGTGTCTTCAATCAGGAAAATTTCCTCATCACAACTTGAAAAGTGGAAGTCAGCTTTTATTTTCTCTAAGTAATTATCGTCAGTTTTTATGGCATAAAAAAGTATCCGTGTCGAAGGAAAGTAAATCAAGTTTAGATTCAGTTTCAATTTTTTTTATAGTGGAAATGAAACATGAAACGCTTGGCCAGGTCTGAGATGGTCATACCAACTCTCATAGGTTTGTCCCAAAATATTTTTATCACTGAAAAGCTGATTGTGGCACATTGATCGTCAATGATTTGAAAGCTCTTCATCGCGCTTAGAGCTGTATTTTGAAGAAGTTTGCTCTCATTTCTTACAATCACCAGCTTCTTTCTTCCTAGGTTAGACTTCATTATCCTACCGAATGCTTTGAAAGCTTAAATTGGGATTATCTTGTAAAATTTCTTTTTTTTTACTGCCGCTTTTCGTAGGCGGGTGTTGAGGTCCACAAAGTCTGGCATCTAGTGACTTTCGCAGAACTGAACAGCTTTTCCGAGTTGAATTACTTCCATTCCCAGGCTCTAGTTCAACTTTAGGGTAAGGTATTGCAATCATAATCTTCTTCAGGATGCAAGGTCTGCTGGAGCTTTGGCACCTTTGGCTGTGTGGTGAATCTCAAACTTCCCAACATGTCGACTTGCTCGTTGCTCTTTGCACCGATGTCAACTACTTCACGAGAGGAGGTAGAAATTGTTTGCGTCAAAGTTGAGGATAGAGCTTGATGGTTCTGAGGGCGAAAAATTGTCAAGGTGTTTATTGTTCTCTTTGTAAAATCGGCGCACGTAAATCGACGTTATGCCTCCTCATATCGTTTGCTGCACAAAGTCCAGATGTTCACGATTCAGTAAGAATTTTGGATCGGGCTCACAAAATTTTAGAAAGGCTTCCCAGAAATGTTACGTGCCGTGAAATAACAGGCGCAACCCAACCTGTAAATTTGATCGCCAACTTCACGAAACGCTTCGATAACTGAAGCAAGTAGTAGCACATCTGTAGTCAAGTACAAGTAGTGGTAACCATCAAGTCAACCACACTTCACTTCGGTGAAAGTTATAGGACTTGATTGTACTCGCTTCTTGTAACACTCACATCCCCTCCTGTTAGACTTTTTTTCAGCATTGCTCGCGGGGGAAGTCAAGTTTCTTGGAATTTTTCGAAGGAAATGAAAAATGAGTAGAGGTATTACGCTTTCTGTTCCAATATACTGACTTTTTCAGGGGAGTGGCTGAGTTTTTCAAATTATTTCTTAAGCAGAAAAAATTTTTCGCTGGGCAAATTATTGACAATTTTCGTCAGCGGCGCTAGCATGAATCTATACGATTTGATGAGTCTCGGGTTTTTGTAGAATTTTTGTCGAGCAACAAGTCGAAAATCAGGCTCTTAGTGAATCTGGTCGACACTCTTAAGAGCAAAAATTCACCATCGTTAAACATGAACAAAAAATTACATTTTGAATCTAGTTTTGGCCTGAATTTCAAAGGTGATTTGATTAGGTGAAGAATATTAAAGAGTTGGTAATAAGATTTTTAGAAGGCAAGTAGAATTTGCTCACCAAAATACGTTGATTTGACAATTGTTTAGCCTTTCAAATCTGTCCATGTCCTTCAAATTCATTGGCATTTTGTATTCTCCATTGATTTTATCAATTCCTTCTTTGTCGAGGTGGTAGGTTGAAACTTTGTATTTCTCCAGCCACGTTTTTTTTTTATTTTTCAAGTTTTCATTTTTTCACGTTTTTTACCAAAAAATTGTCAGTTATACTCGCAAAACTTGTATATAAACGCAATATACAACGGGAATATGGCTCAAAACTTTCTCTGTTATTTTGTTTAAGACCTGAAAAATCCCACAGGACTAATGACACCTATCATGAGAAAAAAGACAGAGAGTGAACAGAGAACAGAAAGCCAAATAAATGTGGTTGGACTACCAACATGAGAAAATTGGACCCTTTCATATTTAACCTTCTTTTGAAAAGAAAACAAAATCCGCAAAAAGATATTTCTAATGGGGTTCACTAATGAGCAATTGTTTTTAGCTTTCTCTCTCTATCATTTTTTCTCAAAGAGAATTTTGGCGAAAAATTATTCTCGATTCATGATTTTTTTGATAAATTTTTCTCTTACAATTTGCTGAATACTTTACAGAACATATTTTAATTGATCTACTAGGCGAGATAAAATTTTAGAAGCTTGTTCTTCTCGCAGCTCTGTTTCTGAGTAGAACTGCTGTAAAAATCCTCATTCCGGTAGTTGAAAATCGGGCAAACTGTTATCAGCTTCATTGTATGAGTTGGCCCACTCGGTGTTCATGTAACTGTGTTCAAGAAATGCATTCTCTGGGGCGGCTTTATGGCCAAAGGGAACTGTCGAAATACCGTCGAAAAGGAAAAAACATTTTGAGTCGAATGGTGATAATGCAAGTTTGTTTTGTTTCACTGACAAATTAGTGTGACCTTTCGAAACTATATTAAAGTCTTACTTTCTCATTGTTTACCCAAAGAATGATGTGTCACTGAAGGTTTGGTGGACCATTTCTTGATATGCGCTCCGTTTTATTCCTTTGGCACTCAATTTTAGAGTGCACTCTAAGCAGAAGCAGGTAATATTTTTTTCTACAAGGCAGGGGATAGTTTCATTTCACTTCAGCAACTCAATTTATACCGAACAAAGTTTCATTCTCTTTACCAAAGAGCAGAAGACTCTAAACTATAATTTTAAAAAAAGGAAAAGGAAAGAAAATTGTTTTTAGATAAGTTAACGTTTAGTCAACCTGGTATAATGTTGCCTAAATCAGCTAAATGTCCATAGTTTGTTGCAACAAATTAAGGGGGAGGGAGAGTGGTGGTGATATTTTTTCTGTGAAATTTTTGGAATGGGGTTGGAAGGGTGGCTTTCTCTCTCTATCATTTTTTCTCAAAGAGAATTTTGGCGAAAAATTATTCTCGATTCATGATTTTTTTGATAAATTTTTCTCTTACAATTTGCTGAATACTTTACAGAACATATTTTAATTGATCTACTAGGCGAGATAAAATTTTAGAAGCTTGTTCTTCTCGCAGCTCTGTTTCTGAGTAGAACTGCTGTAAAAATCCTCATTCCGGTAGTTGAAAATCGGGCAAACTGTTATCAGCTTCATTGTATGAGTTGGCCCACTCGGTGTTCATGTAACTGTGTTCAAGAAATGCATTCTCTGGGGCGGCTTTATGGCCAAAGGGAACTGTCGAAATACCGTCGAAAAGGAAA